TAAATCTACTTATTCCACTACGTTGATCCCGAGGTCCGCCAATCCTTAATTAAACCTAGATCTACATATAATTTCCCTACGTTGATCCCGGGGTCCAGCAATCCTGCTATAAATTAAACCTAAATCTACTTATTCCACTACGTTGACCCAGGGGTCCACCAGTCCTTATTAAACCTAGATCTACTTATTTCACTACGGTGACTCCGGTGTTCACATATTTAGCAAGGTAGACCCCGGGGTCCACCTATCCTTTAGACTAAATAGACCTCGTGGTCCACCAATCCACTTCCTTGATAATAACTGAAAACAATACAGTTGTCATGAACAGCGAAGAAAAAGGTGTGAAAAAAATAAGATAATGAGGTACACTACAATTTGTCACAAAAATTACAAGTGCAGGTGAAGATCATAAGATGATTTTGTTATTTTCTGGTCATCTTTTCTCGGTTTATAAAATGTTCCACTGGGCCTAATACTAGATCTATGTCTCTGAAGAACATTTTGCTTGACTTAATAAGCTTTTTTATGTATTTCAAAGCATAAAATATAGTTTCACACCAATGTAAGCACAATACTTTGAAAAAGAAAGATAAGGTCATTGGGTTTTTTAAAACTTTAACGGAATCCTTTTTACGTTGAGAAAAACGTTAAAAACAAGTTTTAAAATTGTAAGAATGCCCATAATATTAGGAAACTACTACCTAGTTGGCTTACTCTTTAATAATCACGAGAAGTTAAGAAAAAAAAAGAGAATGATGTTGGATTTGTCTAAATATGACAATTAGCAGTAAAGATATTGCCCATTTTGTCCGATTATCTTTGAAAATCACCCTGTGCTGTACCTCAATAAGTACAACAAAATATTTCTGTGACTTTGTATAGAGGTGTTTTGTAGTTGAGTTCTATGTAAAATTCTCAACAAAATCATGTAAATTTAGACCGTACAACTCAGATACACACTCATGCACACAATAACATTTGCGCACTTACACACATTACACACACACACATACACACACACACACACACACATATCTCTAGATCTCTCTCTCTCTCTCTCTCTCTCTCTCACTCACTCACCACAACCACACACGAAACAAACACACACACACACACACACACACACACACACACACACACACACACACACACACACAACTCCTACCCGTGGTCACCTTTTCATTGGGTATCATTCCTCTATTTAGAAATAATCCCCCGCACTAAATAAAAAGATCAGTAGAATCTCGA